GCGCAAGGTCATGAGTTCGGTTCCCGTACCGGAGAAAAACAAAAAATAAATAAATAAATAAAATAAAATAAAATAAAATTTGGGGCCAGGGATACAGCTCAGTGGCACAAGTACCTGCCTGGCAAGCCTGAGGTCCTGAGTTCGATTCCCAGTACCAAAAAAAAGTAAAATAAAATTTTAAAAAATTTTAAAAATAAAGTACATGTATCTTCAATTGTACTAAATAAGAAAAAAAAACTTTCACAAAATGACTTATCAATTTACACTCCTATCACATTCTTGTCAACACTTGATATTAACAGACATTTTAATGTCTAGCTATCTCTCAGAAGTGAAACGGGTCCTTCCATGGTTCTACTTTACACTTTCCTGGCTGTAAGTAAACAGTTTTCCAAATGAGTTGCTATGAATCATGGTCTAGTAAGAAAATTATTACAGTGCCCTGCATAAATGTTACATATTATTCCATAAAATTTTTATTCTTATTTATATGTGTTTGCAGTGTATGTGTTTGCAATGCAAAATTTTTGTAACTGTTAGCTTCTAACAAGTTGAAAGACCTTGCTGTGGATGTGTAGTCATAGTAAAACTCCACAGAAACATTTGGGCAACTCACAGGTGCATCACTCAAGCCCACAGCATAAAAGAACATTATTGTACAAGGAGGGCAGAATGTGAGAGGTCCTTCAAACACCTGACTGGCAAAAACAGATTCACAAAAACCTTGAGGGAAACAATAAGGGGTATGCTATACGGAGACAGGATTCTATAAAAACCAACTGATTGACAGGCATGGTGCACACACCTGTAATCCCAGCACTGGGGAGGCTGGGGAGGCAGGAGGAAAGCCATGAATTTGAGGCCAGCCTGGACTACATAGTGAGCCCAGGCCAGATTGAACTGCATAGTGATACCCTGTCTCCATCAATCAACCTGATCTATGACATCAAACGATTTACTAAGCCTTTACTATGTCATCTCTATATTAAAAATGAAGCAGTATCTAGACACACACACACACACATATATATATGCACACTAGACACACTCTTTGGTAGTAGTGCTGGTATGGAATACATGTCTATGAGGAACATACCCAATTTATCTCCCTAAAAATTGTACTCCTGCTTATATTCTCAGTCTGACATTCTTATCTAAAACAATCCCAATAAAAAGTCATAAAATCATTTTAATGGAAGTTTTGTAAATGTTGTCTTTATAGATGATATTAATGGTTCTATTTTTTTCTGTTTTAGTAACATTATGTAGAACGGTATCCTTACACTTAGGGGTAAAGCATCATGATGTCTGCATTTAATTTCACATGGTGCAGTGTAAAAAAGGTGATTAAATATATGCGTATATGAAACAAATTTGGTATTTCGGTATTGGTATTTTGATAATAACATGTGACTTTAGGAGAAGGTACAAGTGTTCAACAGTTTTTAAACCTCTGATGGATTTGAAAACTTTCAAAATTTAATGATGGATGAAAATTAATGTTAGACTTAAAATCTACTCATTTACAGGGTTGGTTTTATGTGGATGTGGGCACAAATGTTAATGTGCTTTTATACTTCTCTCAACTTCCAGTTGTTTACCAAAATAAATAAACATATCTATCTATTTATCTCAATTGTCTCTTCTGGAAAATATACTGCCTCCTGGAACGTTAACCATATACTATGACCAAACTTCTGCCACTTCCTTTATTCCACCGAAAATGTCATTACTCTGATACTTTCAGGTAACTATCCATAAGGAATGCTCTCCTCACAAGCTGCTGGACCAATCATACCAAAGCAACTGTTTGACCCAATGATTCTGTGAACCTACCTGTCTCTTAACAAGAGTGTAATCAAAGACATTTAAATTCCGTAACTTTTCTGATTCAGCCTCACGTAGAATATGCATAAAACAGGAGCCAAGGAACACCAAGAATTACATAATCTTTCCCCCACTGTCTTCCTTCTTAAATTAGCTTTGTGGTTTTTTTGTAATTTCCTCTCAATGTAATAAAATCCTTTGATAGAGGGGGTACTTAGAATGAGGTGCCAGGAAATACAAGGATAAAGTGAAGAAAAGACAAAGGAAGGATGACTGAAGAAATTAAACTAGATCAAGTGAGGACATAGCTCTGGCTGTGTCCACTCTTACATGACCAGATTCTTAACAGGCAAATGTGAATGTAAATCTTTCTCCACAGCAAGTAAAATTCTTAAGACTTTCTAATGACCCACACATTTGCATCATCTCCTTTCTGAATGTGGGAGAGATCTACACATGATGAAATAGGTTTTCTGTTATCATGTTATACAGCATAAATTTTTACATACGTAATTAAGATCACTAATCAGTTGCATTTGCCAAAAAGATTATCTGGATGGGTCTGATCTAATTAGGATAACTTTAAAAAATGGGTCATACAGAGGGTCTAAATAAAGGTCAGAGATACAACTCAGATTTGTTCCTATTTGCCTGGACAAAAACAAAGAGCTGTGTTCTGAACTGCTGCCTACTGGACTACACTGTACTAGGGCAAGAAACGGAGCAGCCTCTAGTCAGCAGCTTCAAGATGGGAGCATCCATCATATCAATGAAAGGATATTAACTCTGCCAATAAGCAGTTATCAAAGTAAAGGACCCTGAGCCTCAAATAAGTACAGGCACTTCTTATAATTGTCCGGATGTCTCGATTCCTGGTACCAAAAATAATAATAATAATAATAACTGCCCGGATTTTAAGGCGTACCCCCTAATCCCAGCACTCACAAGGTTGAGGCAGGACGACTGTAGAGAGTTTGAGGCCAATCTAAATTACACCGTGAGACCTCGTCTCAAAAACATTGAGGGGGGAAAAAAAGTGCAGCCACATCTGATACCTTGATTTTGGTCTATGAGATGCTTAAGAGAGGCCCGTCCCATAACCAAACCACACCTACAGAAACTGAAATAAGTAACAATGAAAAGGGGAAAAGCATGTATCTTTCCCCAGATTACATTTAGCACTGATTATGAAGATATACATGTCTACCAGAAAAAAAAAAAAAAAAAGATTCCAAATGTACACGTTTGGGTTTAAAGTTCTAACAGCTAAAAGGATTTTTTTCACACACATTATGTCAAACTGCCACCATATTACTCCATTTAGAGATGAGAATAATAAGACCCAAGAGAGTAAAATCCCATTCCGAAGACAACAAACCTAGGGAGTCTTCCAAGCAACTTCAGTTCAAAAGTCCCCCTCCAGTATACCACAGGTCCCCTAAGGCTTTGAAACGGGCTTTTCAAATCAATAATTGTATTACTTTCTTCAAAAGAGAAAATCCTAGTAATAATTTTCCATATTTTGCCTCTATTTAAGTAGCTTCTAGCTTTATCAGAAAATCAAAACTAATATAGAAATTTTTCTAGTCAAAAGTTGTCCGTAAAAATTATCACTGAGAGACTACTTGTCTAAATAAACTTAGTGTACTGAAAGTACGTTTTTCAAATGGAAAAAATAATTTAGGAAAACACCTGTAGGTTTTCTAAAAGTTTATTTGGGTAACAATTTGTGTCACATCCCCTCCAAAATTGAAATCAAGGAAATAACATTTCTGGTTCTTTCAGTATTTCCTTCCTCGGAGAAGTTCTTAAATTCTGAATTTAAGCATTATAAATGTAAGAACATGGTACGCTACATCACTGGATAAACGAGTAGTTTTTATTTGCAGTCTTCGTACGTTTCCATAAATGCTTCACCATTAGTTTGCAATTTTCTTAAAATACACAGAAAATTAAGTTAGAGATTCACATTCAAATTCCACCTAAGTTACTAATCACACAACTTTGTTTATGCCAATTTAGACTTTGTCAAACTGTTTTGTACTAAGATGCAAAACAGTCATTTCTAGTCCCAAACTCGAAAAAAGAACTGTATCATCTTAACAGCAACTTTTAACAACAATTTGCTATCACAAGCAGCATTGTTTCGAGTCTGTCAGCTTCCAAAACCATCCCCTGACCTACACGCCTGGGGCACGACAGCCTGCGATGTGAAGGGAATCGATAACATTTCAAATGTAGGCAAAGGGGGTGACGTGACAATCTCAAGACCTGAAAATTTCTTGGTCCCTACAGCTCGCAAGCAGCACCCAGCTCGGGCCCTCCGAATGGGGCTCAGGTCCAACTCTAGGCACTCCCCTTTTCACGGCTCCTCACCCTGCCCCCACCCCGAGAAAGGAGGGAAAACAACTTTTATTGGCCTCATCTCCCGGGGGACTGGCAAACTAGCGGGGCAGTGCTCCGGCCTAGACGCGTCTCCCAGGCAGGGCCCGGCGGGGAAGGCACATAGCGGGAAAGCCCGGGCCCGAC